TGTTGATTAGACGCCTTTGGAATTCTAAAACACATGTTATTCCCATAGTAATTGGAGCCACAAGAGTAGTAGCCAAAAGCCTCAGCAGATACACAGATAAACTAGAAACATCAATAGACATTACAATTCTACAGAAGCAAGCCGCCATTCACACAACAACCATTCTTAGTAAAGTATTAGGAGACACAGTTTTCGTCACAAACGTTCCAGATTCCGATCAATTACAACCATCTCAAGCGCACACACCACATACCACTCAATCAACCATCACATAAAGCTCACTATCCACAACTGGCATACAAACTACACCCACACAAAATTCAGAACCACACACAGATAGTGTCAGTAGCAGAAGAGGAAGAAGGAGATTTAGAAACCAAATTTAGAAGGGGGCTATGAGCATCGTTTTTCCTGCGGGTCGCGGAACGCGGTGCCCATTTTCACCGGGTCAATCCCGAGAAGGAGTAACCTCCAACATGATACAGTTTTGCTTAAAGACATATGGCACCGACTTTTTACCTATCGGTGGGTGGGTAGCCTATCAGTACTAGTAATAATAGTTATTTATTTCTTTTTAGTTTTGACTTTTTGTTTGTTATTAGTTTGTGGTTTTTGGGAGTCGGTTTTTTATTATATGCGGGCCGAGGCTAGTATGTAGCCTCGGCCCGCGACTTCGTACGCTTTCTCCGGTATGCGGTACGGCAAGAAAAGTAGCAAGTGTTGCACCATTTTAAAATCTTGATTAAATGCGCCATCTTTTGAAATACCTTGCCAAGGGTAGTGTAGTACATTTTTTTTTCAATATGAAGTGTCAAAGTTAACTAACAATATTTTTGTGAACGATTACTCACTAAAACTTAACTTATTTTATTAAATTAACGATGTTTTTTGCATTAATTTGTAGTTGCGATTAACAGCATATTTAATAAAGATCACAAAATTAAAAAAAACACTGCGAAATTGTGACATTGGTGATCACAGGTCTTGAAAACGCGACCAAGGGTGTCGAATTTCAACTTTTTATTTAAATTGTCTATTATCGTTGAACTGAGTGATATGGATTTTTTTTATTATTTTTCCCAGAACTGGTATAACTTGGCTGTTCATCCGGTCTCAGATTATCGTTGAGTTTTGGGACACCCTGTATAATGTTTTAAGTGTTCCCCTGTAATTGTGATGCGGACGAATACATTGTTTGAAGTTAAGTTGTGTGCATTCGTCTGATGTTGATTATGAGTTTAAAAAAATAACTAAGTTAAGCTAATAATGCGACAGACCTTTTGTTTAATTTATAATTTGTGGTTTAATTAAACCAAATGAGGTATGTTGTATACGAATCGTTACACAACTGACAAAAGTGGTACATGCTCTGATGTCTCTTCGGGGAAATAAAACGCGATTTTATGGTAAGTACATAATGTTTTTTTACTACATGATGCACGTCAACCATTTGTATTTTTGGTTCTTTTTAGTCACCCTTTTTATCTTTATCATCACCATCATCACTATCATCATCATCACCTTCCTTTTTCTTTTTCTTTTTACTGTATACGTCATAAATTTTAGGTACAGAGAAAACTTGTTTGATGAGCTCGCAAGTGTCTCTAATGTCTATGTCGAAGTGGACCACTCTCTCGTAACTGCGCATCAGGTTGTGCATGGTGTAGTAAGTATAGTATTTTTTTATATGATACTGGTTGTAAGCCACGCCTACCATCTTAAACAGCTCGGTCTTTAGGCGACGCAGTCTATTGAACAAGTACCCCAGCTGGTACCGTTTGTCTTGCCTGATGAGGTCACGCTGCGTCAATGCCTTCCCCAATTCATATTTTGAGTGCATCAAGAACTGAACCAGCAAATTCGCCACACGACCTTTTTTGTGCTGTTCTATGACATTGTTTGCAAACTTGTCGTCTCTCTCGTAAGGATAGTACCGTCTAGTTTTATTCGGAAATTGTCTCGTGAAATTCTCATATTGGTCGTTAATGTGATGGTAGTCATGTAAATCGAAGGTATAGTTCATAGAGCGATACACAGGACGGCATTTGATTACATCTGGTATTTCTAGATCTAATGTGTAAAGGTCTTCGTCCATAATGTCATCACTTCGCCTGGTTTTTGTGTCTTTGTTGTTTATCTTTACTTCATCGTTAATGAAAAGATCTTTAAAGGTTGCCAATTTTCCAAATAACGTGTGGTAGACATCATTATCTGAAGAAGCGCTGAAGCTGACTGGTACATCTGTTGAAACATAAAGTGTTATAATATATCATGATCCTCCGGTAACCTCACTCACACGACGAAACACAACGCAAGCGTTGCTTCACGTCGGTTTTCTGCGAGGCCGTGGTGTCACTCCGGTCAAGCCGGCCCATTCGTGTCGAAGCGTGGCTCTCCCACGCTTAAATTAACACTTCTAAAGTTTTATTATATGTACCTATAGATATTATATTGATACTTACAGATTAAGGTAACACAAACAGCTAACAGTGACATTGATTAGTTTCTACAGTGAAAAGTAGAAATACGCCAAGCTTAGGTTTTATTACCTATGAATTCATAATAATTCAAGTGGTAATTAATTGGTTTACAAATTGCAATAAGTTTTATAATAGCTTTTAATTACAGATTATAATTGAATTTCTCTTTTGTAGTTATTTTTGTGTTTCCGGTGTTATTGCTGTGTAGTAACACAAATGGTTTGGCAACACGATTGGTGCCGTACCTGCGTTCGATGTTCGATCCCCGAACGGAGCAATGCCTTAAATCACTACTATGCACAGACAGCGGTGCGGGTAGATGCTAACAATGCATATTAGTTGTCAGAAACAGCTATTAGAATTATCTAATATATCTCATCATCATCATCAACAGCCTATAAATGCCCACTGCTGAGCAAAGCCTCTTCTCACACGGAGAAGGTTAGAGCGTTAATCACCACGCTTGCTCAATGCGGGTTGGTGATTTCAAACTTATAATTAGAAATTATAAGTCCAGGTTTCTTCACGATGTTTTTCCTTCACCGTCTAATATATCTACTATATAACAATCATAACCCTCCTTTTGCTTTGCCGTAGTCGGGTAATAAGTCGGGTTTTCCTTCCTGACGCTATAACTCCAGAACGCACTAACCGATTTCCACGATTTTACATTCGTTGGAAAGGTCTCGGTCTCCGTGAGGTTTATAGCAAAGAAAATTCAGGGATCAAAATTTTCTTCATCTTTTAATCACTAAACGAAATGTTACATAAAACGAAGCCATCTGGTGGCGAAACGGAGTTCGCAGGGTTTGCTAGTTTATTATGTTTTTGGTTTACGTAACTGTGCTCACGTAACTGTTTGACGAGGAACTAGAATAGTTTCAAGCCATGCTAGAGGCTTATATTCATGAGTAGCGTTTCGCGACCCGCGACGCGGCGACTGTCGCGAAACTCGCGCGCTGAAACTAGTCGACTACCTCGTCAAACAGTTACGTGACTAATCCTAATAATATAAGCTTTAATATAAACATATAGATACTAAGATTGTACTGTAATATCATTTATTTGTTAAACAGGCTAGACCGTTCCTTGAATGACACATTAGGCTAGTTGGCTTCCACATAATAATAATTATATTAACTAAAAAATATTACTGCCTCGTTGGCCGAGTGATGACTGCCGGGCAAAGGGTCTCGGGTTCGATTCCCGGGTCGGGCAAAGTATTACTGGGTTTTAAAAAAGTCACAGTAGTAGCTCAGAGTCTGGAATTGTGCCCGGTAAATGGCAATAGGCTCACCTCCTATTACATGGGACTCATAACATAAATAGTCAAAAGTGGATGTTACATTGTATAGTGGTCTTAAGTGCCGTAATGTGCATCTCTACCTACCGCTTTGAGGATAAAAGGCGTGATAAGTTGCCTATTTTTTATCGATTTTCTATTTAACCCTAAGGTTGACTGGGAGAGAACGCCATATGGTATTAATGTCCGCCTTGTGTACCATCACTTGTTTCTGTGTACATTAAAGTTTAAATAAATGGAAAAATATTTAACATAGACATTTAATCTTCAAATTCTGCATCGAAATGATCCTTTCTGTTCAGTTTATGTTTCTTGAAGATTCTTCGGCAAGTCTTATCGTTCCTACGAAGTAATTCAACTAAGAGTTCTATGTTGAACAACAGGCTTAGTTGTCTCTCGTTAGCATTCAACATATCATATGTGGGGTATCGATTAAATATCCATTCGACATGCAGAGTACAACCCCTTAATGCTCGTAAAGAAAACATAGAGTAGATCTTTATCAAATTATCAACCTTACTCATCAGGAATCCCATTTTGTAAAGCGAAGAATTCTTGTGTAAATCCCTGCTGAATTGCGTGACAATCATTTTATTTCTGGTCTGGTAAATGACTTGTTTCATCAACTCGTATAGCCTGCGTCGGAGGAAGAACCTGTCGTTCATATTAAATGGGGTCCCTGCGGTATTAGACTTCCATCCTCGCCTACCATCTCGCTCGAGGATCAGTTTAGGATTCCCATTTTCGATTTTCATATTCATGATTTCGTCGAAAGTATCAATACCCTCCAACATCATCTCTGATTGTTCTTCCTCTGTTATATTCACACCTTCATACCTTTTCTTTCGGTCTATTCGCTCCCATATGGTGGCTGGTTCAAATTTCTTCACATAGTTTTCGAATGTCCATTCCTGTTGTGGATATTGCATGCGTCCTGAAATGTTTCTTAAGCCGAGAAAATTTGTATCCGTACTTGGGTTGTCTGTAATTTGGTCCTCGGCAGTGTGGATGCCACTTATGTGTGCGACAAGGAATAGTATTTCTGTAAAATAGATACAAAAAGAGTTTTATGAGTGTAAATAATTTCCTCATAATAATTAGTGCTGTCTTCTGTGTTACCACTACAATTGTATATTTAAGAAACCGTTGCCCCACACTAGGATTTGATCCTGTATCGTGGATGCGTTTACAAACATACAATATCACATGCACATTTTTTTTTATGGCATAATCTGGTAAACGAGCAGACGGATCACCTGATGGTAAGCAATCGGCGTCGCCCATGGACACCTGGAACACCAGAGGCGTTACAAGTGCGTTACCGGTATTTTGGGGATTAGTAGTTTGAGGATCGTTGGGGATTCAGGGATTGGGGAAATTGGGGAAGGGGAGGGTAATTGGGCCTCCTGTAACCTCACTCACACGACGAAACACAACGCAAGCGTTGCTTCACGTCGGTTTTCTGTAAGGCCGTGATATTACTCCGGTCGAGCCGGCCCATTCGTGCCGGAGCATGGCTCTTCCCACAAAGAGTTGCTCCGTGCGGGAATCGAACCCGCTACACGTTGCGCGGCAGTCAGTTAGTTGCCCAGTCACCGCACCAACCGTGCAGTCAAACACATAATAACCCTTTACTGTTCTGTTGGTAGATTTATTGTCTATTTTATATTTATTAGACGTAAGTCCTACTTACTTTGAACAAACATAATTAAATTTAAAGTTAATATAATTGTTTAAACATTGCTGTGTCACGCAGATGGTGAGCTTGTTTCGTTTATTGATAGTACCGTAGGTATTGTACGCATGTAATTTCAATTAAAATGGCAATTTATTTCTAATTACCGCTAAGAACATAAAAAATCATGTACATATATTTGTACATACTTTTTTATTGAAAGACTGCTTAGTAATCATAGGTTATTATCATTCCATATTTACTACAAATAGGTGCACGTACTCGTATAGTTTTATCAAAATCAAAGCATTTATTTCAATTAAACTATTATTTGGTAGTTTTGAAACGTCAACATATATATTATGGCATAAGCTGGTATACAAGCAGACGGATCACCTGATGGTAAGCAATCGGCGTCGCCCATGGACACCTGGAACACCAGAGGCGATACAAGTGCGTTACCGGCCTTTTGGGGATCAGGATTAAAGTAGATCGACGTACAAATAATCTTGACGACGTAAACAGCTCCATTCTTCAAGTGCATTATTGGTTTACCATTAATAATCTAGCACTTAATGAAAAAAAAACAAAATGTATTAAATTCAGTTTACCAAACGTGCGTAGTAACGATTGTGATATTGTTTTGAACGGTCAAAAGTTAGAATTTGTCGACGAGACAGTATTTTTAGGCATTACGTTAGACAATAGGCTACAATGGGGTCCGCATATAAAGGCGCTTTCGGGGAGATTGAGCTCAGCTGCTTTTGCAGTTAGACAGATTAGACAGCTCACGGACGTGGATACAGCTAGGCTTGTCTATTTTAGTTATTTCCACAGCATTATGTCGTACGGCATTTTGTTGTGGGGTCGAGCTGCAGAAATAGAATCAATATTTATTCTGCAAAAGCGGGCTATCCGAGCAATATATAACTTACGCCGTTGCGAATCGTTGAGAGAATTGTTTAAAACGATAAATATTTTAACGGTGCCCTGTCAATATATATATGAAAATATAATGTATGTAAGGAAAAATAGGCAATTGTTTGAAAAAAGAAGCGATAGACACAATTTTAATACTAGAGGCAAAAATAAGTTAGCTATACCGCAATTCAGACTGTCCAAAGTACAGAAATCCTTTATGGGGTTAGGTATTAAATGCTATAATAAAATACCAAATAGCATACTAGATCTCAATGAAAGTAAATTTAAAACATATATTAAGCGCGAATTATGTAATCAAGCTTACTACACACTGACAGATTATCTTGAAGATAAGAATGCTTGGCAGCATGTTGGTTCGGCTCCACTGGACAATACTCAAATGTAGTCAGTATTTAAATTCCAATAGTAGGTAATATGTTACATAATTTAATACTTTAATTCTAATGTAGACAATCTAGTTTCCTTATGGCATCGAGCATTTCTTTCTTTATTGAAACAAAGAGTTTCCTTTTTCTTGTATAGAAGCACTATTTCTATGGATTGTCAGTATGCATATGTGAGCACCATGTT